TAAACATATAAAAATATCACAAAGGATACTCAAGTTTATATAAGCTTTCCTCTTACTGACCATTTTATCCTTGTTTCCTTAGAGAAATTCTAATAATCCCATATTTATAATAGTTGTATAAAAGGATGCAACTGTGATACCAAAAATTCAGCATTATCAAATTCTTCTGCAGGAACAAGGAATGGGCAGAATACCATTGTGAAAATGTTTACTAAACAATCTTTACAAATTGGAAACTTTTCAAGGAGTCTTAAAGAATGAAAGAACAAACATACTTTCAACATACTGAAACTTAAAAGGAAAATTAAACTCCTGCTTTTCCTGCTTTCATTGAAACAAGCCCTTAAAATAAATGTATTATTCACCCACAAAATAACACCATTATTCTGAAGGATTTCCATGAATTAACACCACCTGAGGACTTGGCACTATGCTGCATCAAATAACATGTCATGTTTCTTCTACTCTATTAATGACCAGATTTTCCTAGACAAAATAGTATTTTCACTCCCCTTTTATACTATATATTACTGAGATCTTTAAAGAAGAGAAAATTGGTAAGCTCTCCTTAAATAATAATCACTGACCTGCATGGCTTTTTCCGTTTGTTTTTTTAGTAGTGAATAAATATCTTAATAATAAAAATTGAACGTATCTAGACATTTAAGCTTTATTCAGTGAAATGCAATGAGTTCTAGTTTCTAGAACAGTATGTGAATTTGAATTAGTTTTACTGTTACACTAATAAATTTAATCCCTGGGTACAATACAGGTAGCACTTATCTGTCTCTCTTATGATACATGATACTTCCTATCATCTATCATCTTATTCCTTCAAACACAGGAGGAACTACTTTAGGGGAGGAGCTAGGTTTGATTTATCTAGGTATCTTTCCCAGCACCTAGCCCTGCTGTTTTTAAAGAGTTGTTGTTGTGAGATGCCATGGAGTTGATTTTGACTCATAGTGACCCTATATATGACAGAGAAGAACTGCCCCATAGGGTTTTCTAGGCTATAATTTTTATGGCAGCAGACTGCCAGGTCTTTCTCCCTCACAGCCACTGGGTAAGAACTGCCAACCTTTCTGTTCACAGCCGAGCGCTTAACTGTTGTGCCACCAGGGCTCCCTTTTTAAAGAATAGATCCTTCCTAAATATTTGTTGAATAAATGGAGCTTAAATGTTCAGATATATTAGTTACATGTCAGTGCCTTCTTGTATAGATCTATTGTATGTTCCTAACGACAGCAACTAACAAATAAGATAAAATTTAATCTCCAAAAAGCATTTGAATCTGATTAATGTTTTGGTTACCTTGCCTACTAAATCAGCAAATTCCTGGCAACCAAATTATCATAAACACTAGTTGTTCTAAAAAACTGGTTAGTTTTTATAGCATAAAAATACAGCAAAAACAAACAAACAAAAAAGCCAATCAAATTAAAGAGAAATAAATATTTAAAGAGGAAAAAAAACCCAACTGCTCATCCTATCACAAGGTGAGTCCCATCCACAAAGGTAAGAGAGTTTTTCTAATTTGTTCACTGCTGAACCTCCTGCTTTTAGCAGTATCTGGCACATAGTAGGCCTGCAATAAATACTTGTTTAATAAACAGACTGCTGATAAAACATGTTATTTTATCTATATTTTTTCTTTAGTTCAGGATGTAAATAAAACAGGATTCATTTGTGAAGTGAAGAACCTCCCATATAGGTTCATACTGAAGTGCGATTCTGGCAAAGGCTCCAGGCTTTGGGATTACCAACTGTAAAATATGAGTGAATTTACATCCCAGATACTGACTGGCTGATCAAGCCCAGGCCTGGGATACATCAGGCGCAGGTAAGCAAGAATTTCAAGCCATCATCCCTGTGCATGTAGGCAATGCCAGTGACAGCAATAACAAGTAAGCTTTTCTGGCAAACCTATCAAAATTAAATCTTAAACTTTTGAAAAAAACTAGTATGTTTGTCGTGCTCCCTTCATAGTTAGAGGCTTAACTATCTGTGAGAAGAGCCTATAATTATGGATCAATTACTTATAACTTAAAGGCATTTATAAAGGCATCTGCCCTTTTAAGAATCCTTTTAAAGATTCAGGCATAGGACTGTAAAACTGATCCTGTGGGGCAACGATAAATCACAGGTTTGGGGGCCCAATTTTGACAACTCTCTCTTGGAAGAAAAAGAATTGTCACCTGTCCTAATTTCCTGACCCTGCTAGGACAAATATCAGCAACCTCTAAAACGCAGAATTCCTAGTCTGGCCAAGCAAGTCAGGGGGCCAATGGCTGCTCCAAGGCAGAGGTGAAAGAGAACAGGAAAGAAACAAAAAGGGAATGGACATCTGTAAGCTCATGAGGGTGTCATCACCACTGATAACATCCTCAAGTGTCACTGAACTTCATGACGTATAACTAATAGTTTTCCCTAACTAACTAAAGCTAATTATACTCACCGAGTGTCTTGGTTCTGGAAGTGTCAATGTATGGGTTTGTCTATGATTTGTTCTGTGAAAAAGTCAGGTGAACTGAAACCTTACTTGACACTTGCTCCAGGGCAAGGGTACCACTAATCTGCCTAAATACAAATAATACTTAGACGTTTGAAGAAAGGCAGTCCCTAGGTTACGGGTTACTTCAAATTTACCCAACTCATGGACAGCGGACAGCTCGTACTTGCTTTTTGACGTAAATGTGTTCTCACTTTGAAACGACTGAACCAACCCCTACTTGTAACAAATTCTTCATTACATTCACCTTCACTTGCTGCACGTGCAGCTTTTAAATCATTGAAAAGGTTTCCAGCCTTTTCTTGCACTAAAGGGACTGCTTGTACTTTTAATTTACAAAGTGCTTTCATATACACTATCTCACTTTATCCTCATGACAACTCTGAGGTAAGTGTCATCAATACCATGGTAACATACAAAAATAACTCTAGAAAATGATGCTTTTGTCTTCAATTCACAAGCATATCTTCCTGAAATTTCACAGTACCGAATCTAAGTCATGAGTCAACTAGATCTCTCTAGAGGACAAATCTCAAAAACACACCAATCTCAAGAGGATAAATCAAGAGAATGAACAGGACAGATCATCCAAAATCTACCAGCACAATGGCAAAAACAACTCACCCTTCTTCTGTTACAAAAACAGTTGTGCTTTGTAAACTATAGTGTCACGTCACTGTTTATTGAATACTCCATAGATAACAGACAAAATCAGACCCTTTTTCTTAAAATTCTTGTGGTGGAATTCATCCACTGGGAAGGGCTTAGGTGATTTCTTTGGAAGATAACTAAGTTGGGGGGGGGGCTAATGTACCCTTCCCTTTTCTCTCCAATCTCACAAAGACCCCCAAGTAGGGTTTTTGTTGTTTTTCAGCAAAGAAAACACATCCCCCCAAAAGTAATCTACTGGTTTACATATAATCCCATCTTCCTAAAATACTCATTCTCCCAATCTTATTATCTCTTGTTCCTCCTTCCTTCACTAGCTAAACTGGAAGTACACTGGTATATATCTTTATAACCATATACTACCTTATTTATGTATTTATGATCCTTTGCTGCCTTCTAGGCTGTGTCTAACTGTCTTGGGAACAAAACATCACACAAATCACCCAGCTTGGATAAGAGAAGACAAGTTAAAACCTCCCAGAAGACTCTGTAGACACTTGGGCTTCCTGAGTCTGTAGAGGGCTTGGTATTTCAAAGGTCAGTCTTCAGTCTCTCCACTTTGATGACTAATGTTAAATTGTTTGACTTTTTATAAAAATATTTGGCTATGCTTATTTACATAATTTCATCCACAGTGCACACAGCAGGCACTTATCTGTTGAAGAGAATCCCCAGATGGATGAGAAAACAGGGAGAAGAACCCCCCCACAGAAGACCACCTTTTTCCAGCATAGTAGCTTAACAGTTTAGAAAGGTAAAATTATGACCCAAATTGTAAAAGTTTCTGTGTATTCCTTTGCTACACAAAACTATGCGTCTTTGTAGTTAAAAAAAAAAAAGATGACACACAACACAATGTCAACCACACAATGGGGAAATTCCACTATCACTAAAAAAACACCATTATCCTAAATCACACACTTTCCTTTAATATCGGTTACCACAGAGAAGAGGCTTTAACAGACTGCTTTCTCCCACCCAATCGCACAACCAGTCCAGAAAAAGCAAGTGGAGAAGGCAAAACCTAATGATACCACATCTTGAACTCACGTATAACCCTTTGGAGAAGTACAAGGATTATGCCAGCCCAAAGATATAAAGCAATAATGACAAGAAGGTAACACTTTTCGGAAGAAAATTTTAAAGGACACTGTTTGAAACTGGGCATTAGCACCCAAGCTCCTTGGACTATCAGGAATCATTCTTACCGTTACGCATCTTCTAATGAAGAAAAAGTACAACGTACTGGGTACCAGGAGTCAAAATCAACTCCGCGGCAACTAGTTTGGTTTGACTTTGCGGTGTAATTAGCAAAAATATTCTTGAAAATTTCTGCGTCTTTTAGACCTTATTTAGACTAGTGAAGCTATCTTGCCACTAACTATCACACCGCACACTGCTACCTCTCAGTCTCTCAAAAATTCCCCAATGATGGGGGGGGGGCAACAATGCGGGGGCGGGAGGGTGAGGGTGTGTGTGTGTGTGTGTTTCAAGTTGGTTTGTTTTGGCCCTAAGGGCCACTCAATCTCCCCGTACTCCCCGCTTCAGGGCAGGCAGGGAGAAAACAAATAACTTGCACACTAGCAGGGAAGCCTGCGCAGGTCACGTTTTCTGACTGCTGTTTCTGCTCGCTGTCTGGCAAGGTCACCGACGCTGGCTCACGGCTCTGAAGACAAAACTTACTCGCACTCTGTAAGATCCACTGGTCGCGCCGGGCCTCCCTAGCGACTGCCCCCGCCCCTCACCCTCTGGACCAGAGGACCCCCGACCCTCCCCGGGCGCGCGGCCCCGACAGCGCGGGCACCGCTCCCTCGCTCACCTGACCACGTTGGGGTGCTCGAAGGTCTCCAGGTGCCTCAGCACCGCCACCTCGCGGATGGTGGAGAGTGGCATGCCCTCTTCGCCCGTCTGCACCCGCACGCGCTTCAGCGCCACGAAACGGCCTCCGTTCTTCAAGTCCCGGGCCTTGAACACCTTCCCATAGGCGCCCTCCCCGATCTCCGCCACGCACTCGTACTGCTGGTCCGCACGACTCAGGCCGTCCTTCTCCATGCCGTCCTAACGCCACCCGGCCTGGCGCTGCTGGGGCGGGCGGAGAGCGCGCTCAGCTCGCTTGCGGCCGCCGCTCTCCTCCTCCCGAGCTCCGGCGCTTGATCTCGCTCTCCCCCGCCCCCGCCGGCTCCGGGGCTCTGGCTCTCGCGGCCGCCGGGGCTGGATGGAGCGACCTCCCCTCGGGCGGGTGCAGCCCTGGTACCGCCGCTGCGAAACTCCGCCTGCCGAGTCGCCGCCGGAGGAGCGAGCCGATCCCTCCTCTTTCCTCCCCGAAGCGGAGTCCTCTGCTTAGACACAGAGGCGATTACATAGTCTCTGCCTGAGGGCTTTACTGTCCCAAAACGCTTCACCTAAAAGAGGAGACGGTAGGACAAGAAGAAAGTGCAATCAGCCATCCCAGTCGTCTTCCTTGGGGTTCCAGCAGTCTCCCCTCCTTCTTCAAGAAGCCCCCATCGCTACCCGCCGCGCTCTCCTGCCCTCTCCCGGCCCGCTTAATCCTTCCTGGTTCCTCCGAAAAAAGCGAAGTTACTTTTCTTTCCCTGCAGCGCTGGAGCGGTCTTCGCGCAGAGAGAGGCTGCAGGGGCCCCTCGGGGATGAGCGCGCCGCGCGGGGCACAGTGGAACGGGAGGGGGCGTGCCGAGCAGCCCAGAGTGTGCTGGGAGCGCGCGGGAGGGGAGGTGCCGGGCACGCCAATGTCACGGCTTAATATTTACCCCTATATCATTGTGTCGCACTGCTACCATCCCCACTCCCGGGACCTGGACGTGCAGGGAGAGGGGGGTATGAGGATGAGGGGACGCCGGGGGGCGTTCAGGGGTCGTGCACAAGCCGGTGTGGCGAGACTGGGGGGGTCCACGGGTGTGGGGCCGCAGAATGTGGGTAGGGGCTCATAGGACCCTGTAACCCGATGCTGGGAGTGTGCGAGAAGGGGTGGTCAGACATCTGCTCGGAAATTGCTTCCTTTCTTTCTACTTTCAGTTTTTCTACGAGGAGACATTTAAAAACGACTCGCAAACACAAATGGTCTTTTGGGGTAAAGGAGTCTCGGTTGTAAATCGAAATTCTTCCTTCGCCTCAGAGGACCTCCCTGGTGGAGACCCAGGGAGGACAATCCATCAGGTCCGGGAGGATTTGGGCTTTAGCTACTCGGGGTTGCGGCAACGAGAGGCCCTGGAAAAGGCAGTCACCCACGGGACCCCAAGAGTGGGAGACACTTTCGCCTCCTTAAAAAATAACTTAAAGGAAAAGATAGCATAACTGACTCGCCCTTAAATTTTCATCTGATTTCAACCTGAGCAAAACTCAACCTCCCCCCAAAAAGAAAGAAGAGTATACATATGTTGCGCCTCCGAGGGTGAGAGGGAAAGGGATGCACCCCAGGGATCCAGACACGCGGACTTTTTCCCATCCCAAGGACTGTCCCCGATGTAGACAGGCAGTAGAGGCGGTTGCACCAGTCTCATTTCGGTTTGAGGCCAGATCCCGTCTGCGGCCAGACATCTCCCGGAGCCCTCCGCACAACAAAGCGCGGGGCAGGGGGGAACCCCCAATTTCCCTCCCCATTCAGCTGCGTTCCACCGCCGCGGGGACCTCCCGCCCCACCGCCGCCTCAGCCTCAGAGACGTTCGCCACGCTAGCCGCGTGTCTGGAATTCCCAGGACACCTCGGAATTACCTTCCTGCAACCGCTGGCCCGCTCGCCTTCGGCCAGGAACTGAAGAAACAACAAACGGCGCGACCGCACGATGTGCGGGCGATACGACTGCGACGAGGACAGAGTCCCTCACGCTGCAGCCATCCAGAGCTTTTCTTAAAAGGTGAAGGCGAATCCTGGGGAGCCGAGGAACAAGCCCCTAAAGCCTAGCTGGGGGTCTGCGCGAGGGCGAGGGCCACACAGGTAGCGGGCGAGCCGCCGCCGGCCGCGCAGTCCGCCCTCCCGCGTCCCTCCTCCCCCGAGTCCAGCCTGGGGCTCAGCGGCGAAGGAAGCGTCGAGAGACGTCCCACCCCCGCAGGGAACTGCGCCCGCCGCCCCCGCCTGGCCCCGCACCGCCCGCAGCCCTCGCCTTGGCTCTCCCCCCTCGCTCCCCGGACGGTAGGCTCCGGCGAAGAGAAACGGGAGCAGCAGTGCCTTCCCCCAACCCTCCACTTTTTTTTTTTTTTTTTTTTTTGCTGTTGTTGCTTTCCCACGCTGGCTGAATGTGACTTGACCCCATTTCAAAAAAGTTTGACATAGTGCTTCAACATTTCCGCATTCCTCCGCGACTACAAAGGCTGCAGCCGCCTCCTTCTGCTTTCTGTCTCTGCTCTCTGTCTTCACACTCAATGAAATCCTTCATGTGCCTCTCCTGAAGCCTGCCAAACACTGCAAGGGTCGCCACCAGCGCAGCGACAAGAGGCCGCACCAGGGACCGCGAATGCGGCGTGTGCGCACACGCAGATGCGCCCACGTGCACACAGACGGGCGCGCTGCGGGACCCAGGAGCTGCTAACTGCGGGGCGTGCATTTTAACTGAGATTTTTTCAATGATAAAAGTAAACTTGGACACTAAGCAAACGTGTGACCTCGCAAGGGCTCCAAGCCTGGGCAGTGGCCGACTGCATGCATTCGTCTAAGTCTGCATAACACGTCCGCAGGAGTTGTCAGCAGGAAGCCTGCGTTAACATAGATCTCGTGGTAGGGAAGGTGGAGCCCACACCCACACCTCAGCAAGTTGGAAGCGCTTTCGCGGGGGAAATAAAATGGGGCAGGGAAACACATTCTCCAGCATGGAGTCCCCAGAGGCTGTGCATTTTAAACACTAAATATGGATTACGTGAGTGTCCAAATGCAGTTCCGTTTAGAGAAGCTGGATAAGGAGTGTGTGTATATGTGGGTGTTTGTGCAGACGGATAAGTGGAGACGGGATCTCGGTGTCGGGGGGGCTGTCCCTAGGGTGGGATGTCCCCGTCACGCTAGATTGGGAGGGGCTCCTATAGCTGCCCAAAACTGGCCCGCGTAACCTACCCCGCCTTGGTTTGGAAGGAGTTAACCAAAGCCAAGTCGGCGGACACACAGCCCCCCCACTCTTACCCCCACCCCCACCCCGCCTTCGACCCTAGACAAGCCTCCAAATCTTCTTCGGACTCCCCACCACGCAGCCCACCCACCCGAGCGTACAGCTCCTCACCTGAGGGACCCAGCCGCGTCCGGCCACCCGAAGGGGCTTCGTGTGCCTGTCAGACCGCTGCACTTACCCACGGGCGCGCGGAGCAGGTAACGCGGCTAAGAGGAAGGAGTTACCAGCACTTTCTCCGGTTAGGGGGTGGGCACAGCGGCGGAGGGCGGAGGGCGGAGGGACGGCGGAGAGCGCCGCCTGCTCCGCTTGCCGGGGGTGGACGGGGGCCTAGGGGCTCCGGCCGCGGATCGCTGCCCGAACCCAGGAGGC